TTTTTTTTGCGGTACGCGGGCCTCTCACTGTTGTGGCCTCTCCCGTTGCGGAGCACAGGCTCCGGACGCGCAGGCTCAGCAGCCATGGCTCACAGGGCCCAGCCACTCCGCGGCATGTGGGATCTTCCTGGACCGGGGCACGAACCCGTGTCCCCTGCATCGGCAGGCGGACTCTCAACCACTGCGCCACCAGGGAAGCCCCTTGCTTGTCTTTTGAATATATTCTGGGCAAATAAGTTTGACTAACACTGCCTGGGAGAGAGGTGAATTTAGTTCATTCACCCAACAAATATTTATTGAGCACTTTGGTTGTACCAGACCCTGACAGGGGCTGGGACACAGTAGGGGCTTCGTGGAAACTCTGATGAAGTTTCGTAGATGATGCTGGACACAGGCAGTCTTTCTCATCGGGGGAACAACTCAGATGTCTCCACTTGTGGAAAGAAAGTTACACAGTGTACAGATCGAGGCCCCAGGAGGGAGGGATATTCGTCCACGCTGTCCACTGCTGTATCTCCAGCTGTGCCTGGCACATAGTGGGTTGTCAATAAATATTTGTTGAATGAATGAATATCCTATGTTTCTTGACTCATGTGACCCATTCAGCCTTTTATGCTCCAAATTTGCTAGAGGCATAAATACAAAGCAAATTTCTTTCTTATGAGGAAAGCTATACTGCAAGTTCAGTGTGATAAAGGGCAACTCTCAGAGATGGGGGCTGGGGCATGGAGAATGTGACTATCTAAAGGACCAGTGACAAGCATGTCATCCAAGCACAGAAACCCAATATTGCCACTTTTGTCCATTTGGAAACCAGAAATCCAGATTTATGTGTGAAATCTACCAATTTTTAATTAATTCACTAATTTATTTATTTATTGGCCACACTGCACAGCTTGCAGGATCTTAGTTCCCTGACCAGGCATCAAACCCGGGCCCTCAGCAGTGAGAGCACAGAGTCCTAACCACTGGACCACCAGGGAATTCTCCGAAATCTACCAGTTTTTAAATGTTGACTTAGCTTTTTTTAAAACATGGAATGAGTCAAATAAAATACATTCGTGTGACAGATTTGACCCGTGGGCTGCCAGTGCGTGGCCTGTGGTTCATGAACCAGACAATGTGTGTGAACTTGGGTAAACACTGAGCTGAACTGTGAGCTCCATAAGGGCAGGCACCTTCTGCTCTGTTCACGCAGTGCCAGTTCGATATCGTTCTCTCCTTCCTTAATGCAGTCAACAAATATTCATTGAACACCTACTGTATGCTAGCACTGGGTATCCTGTGACGCAAGGCAAACGAAGAATAAGGAAATGACTAGTGTGTTGCAGGACATTTAACTAGTGATGGGATGGTGAGAGGGGCGCTGAGATCTGAATGAGAGGTAGGAGCCAGCTGCGCAGGGCAGGGAAGAGGCTGATCCGTAAATGGATCAGGTGGCCCCAAGGCCCCAGAGCAGGAGTGAGCAGCGCCTGTGTGTGTGTGTGTGTTTGTGATGAACCGAAAGGCGAGGGGGCTGGATCATGAGGGGATGGGAAGGTGTAGGAACTGACCCTGGAGAGGCAGGTCGGTCATGTCATGTGAGGCTCAGTGTGGTGGGAAGCCTTGGATCTGCTATGGGGAGAGGAGTGTGTCACCAGGGGAGGGGTGCTGAGGGTGGCAGTAGGGAGACCAGTGAGGAGGCTACCGTCATAGTCCAAGAAGGAGGGGATGGTGGCCTGGGCCAGCTGCAGGCAGAGCCATGAGTGCTAATTCCAGGTGACATAGTAGCCATGCCGCTGGTACAGTGGACAGGGGTGTGAAGGAAGCAGAACCCTAGCAGGCAAACAAGGCCCATGTCCCCTGAAGGTTGGTGGCTGGCAGCCGCCTTTAGAGCTCGGCTCCCATCCCAAGTAGCCCAGGGAGAGCTAGGGCAGGAGTCGGATGGAGAGGTTTTGGAACAACCCCTTCCTGTTCTCAGAGAAGGCTTCTGGGGAGAGCCGGGATGAGGTTGGGTGGGGCAGGGGCTTAGAAGCATGGCGGCTTGGGGCAGAAAGGCTTTTGGGAGCTGTGCTGAGAGGACAAGCAGAACAGAGCACTGGACCTAGAGTCAGGCTGCCCCAGACTCTTAGTCTCCAGGGACTTGGGCTAAGCCCCGTCTGTACGGGGGGCTCTGAGTTCCAGCTCTGCTCCTCAGAGCTGTCAAGAGATGCTGTTGATTCACTTTTGCCCAGAAGCCTAGCAGCCCTTGAAAATGGACTCAGCCTTAAAGCAGGCCGACAGTGCCCCTGGCCACCGAGGCCTCTGCTTGGCTCAAGTAGTGGCCTTTCCAGCTCTGTTTGACAGTAGCCCCGTGGAGGCTGCAAAGCCCCTGACAAACTGTGACGTGCTGTGGGTGACACTGACACCTCCATCTCTTGCTGAGTTCTGTCCTGTCAGCTCCCAAAGCATCTGGAATCTTCCCACACCTCCTTCTCCATGTTTACCACCCTGATCCTTCGCAACTGAATAAAGTCCTTGGGGCCCAGCGTGCTCTGGCCCCAGCTGGCCTGACCCCGTGCTTCTTCCTTCTCACTGATTATGTGTGTGCCCGCCACACTGCTGGCCCTCTGTCCACTGAACTGGCCAAATCCTGTTCCCAGCTCACGCCTCTCCTCTGCTGCTCCCTCTGCCCGGAAGGCTTTTCCCCACTCGATGACTGGCTCTCTCGTTACTCAGGTTTCAGCCAGATGTGCCCTCTTCCAAGAGTCCTCTCTGACTGCCCTAGCTAAATCGTTGTCCCCCCAGTCACTTCTGTCCCATTACCCTATTTTCTTATTCTTTTTTGCAGCATCTCTCTTTTAAAAAAAATATTTATTTATTTATTATTTATTTGGTTGCACTGGGTCTTAGTTGCAGCAGGCTGGCTCCTGAGTTGCTGCTCCAGGGCTCCTTAGTTGTGGCTCGTCTGCTCCTTAGTTGTGGCA